TGAGGTCATCGCCTTGCGGGCCGCCCCCCGTTCTCGGGTCCCCGCGGTCTCGCGTGTGTCGGAAGTGAGGCTCTGCACACACGGGGGGCGGCTCTTGGGCCCCGGCGCTGCTGCGGACGTGCGCGCGGGGTTCCCACCGGCTCCCGGGGTCGTTCGCAGATGCCGGAGGAGACCCAGGCCCACGACCAGCCGATGGAGGAGGAGGAGGTGGAGACGTTCGCCTTCCAGGCGGAAATCGCCCAGCTGATGTCCTTGATCATCAACACTTTCTATTCGAATAAGGAGATCTTCCTGAGGGAGCTTATTTCAAATTCGTCAGACGTAAGTCGTCTCTTCCTGCGGGGGGGGGGTGTTGGTTTGAGGGTAATTTCAACATCTAGAGGCTCTTGCGCTTAACGATGTGCGTGTTTTGATAGGCTCTGGACAAGATCAGGTATGAAAGCCTGACCGACCCTAGTAAGCTAGACTCTGGGAAAGAGCTGCACATTAACCTCATTCCAAACAAGCAAGACCGGACCCTCACCATCGTGGATACGGGGATTGGAATGACCAAGGCCGATTTGATCAATAACCTGGGTACTATTGCCAAGTCGGGAACCAAGGCGTTCATGGAAGCCCTGCAGGCTGGCGCGGATATCTCTATGATCGGCCAGTTTGGTGTCGGCTTTTATTCGGCCTACTTGGTTGCTGAGAAAGTGACTGTGATCACCAAGCATAACGACGACGAGCAGTATGCCTGGGAGTCTTCCGCGGGAGGGTCCTTCACGGTCAGGACCGACGTAGGTAGGCGCCTAAGGGCCTAACGCGCTGGGCAAGCCGGTGGGGGCGTGGAGGGAGCGGGGCGTAGGCAGTGTCCGCTGTGAAGTTTGCCTGACCTTGGGGCCGGAGCTGGGGAGCAGCGATAGTGTGATAGCCTAACATCCTGGCTGTTTATCTTGGGTGAGGCAGGTAACGGCTGTGGGGCTCCATCCAGTAACAGTAAAGCTTGCTTTATAAGTTTGTTCAAAAAGGGTCAGGTATGCCTTTGAGAGCTGATAGGTGGTGGTTTTTTTACCTTGACTTGGCCATTGAGATTGAAGTTAAATTGGTTTCTCCGCTCCTCCCCCAGGGGAACCCATGGGCCGTGGAACGAAGGTCATCCTGCACCTGAAAGAGGACCAGACGGAGTACCTGGAGGAGAGGAGGATCAAGGAGATCGTGAAGAAGCACTCCCAGTTCATCGGCTACCCCATCACACTCTTTGTAAGTTTCCACAGCCTGTGTGCGGATGACCAGAGGGGCTGAGTCCTGTGCGATCTGCTCCGGCAAACACCCACACTGGCCGTAGTTCCTGGACCAGTGTGAAGTCTGTTCCTCCCGCCAGGTGCTCAGGGCTGTATTTGGTTACGGACATCAAGTATTGACGAGAAGTTTTTGGTTCGTGTTTCTCGGGTCATGGGCTTTGGTGTGAGGTCTCTCCCCTCTGTTCGGTCAATGTCCTCACGCTGGAAGGGACTGTCTCTGCAGGTGGAGAAGGAGCGTGATAAAGAGGTCAGCGACGATGAGGCCGATGAGAAGGAGGAGAAGGAGGAGGAGCGGGGGAAGGAGGACAAGGAGCCCGAGGACAAGCCGGAGATCGAGGATGTGGGCTCTGACGAGGAGGAGGGAGAGAAGAAGGACGGGGCCCGGAAGAAGAAGAAGATCAAGGAGAAGTATGTGGACCGGGAGGAGCTGAACAAGACCAAGCCTATCTGGACCCGGAACCCTGACGACATCACCAACGAGGAGTACGGGGAATTCTACAAGAGCCTGACCAACGACTGGGAGGACCACTTGGCGGTGAAGGTGAGTGACAGCACAGCCTCTGCGGCTTCTGCCTGGAGTCAAGTTTTCTCATCCCTACCCCTCTAAAGGGCTTTGAGCTGCAGCTGCAGGTGTTTGTCCACGATTGTGATGCCGTGTGTGCTTTATTGCAGCATTTTTCAGTGGAAGGACAGCTGGAATTCAGGGCACTTCTTTTTGTCCCAAGACGTGCTCCCTTTGACCTGTTTGAAAACCGAAAGAAGAAGAACAACATTAAGCTGTATGTGCGCAGGGTTTTCATCATGGACAACTGCGAGGAGCTGATCCCCGAGTACCTGAGTAAGTGGGGTTGGGTGTGAGGTTCGACCACTGTCACTGGTTCAAGTCGTTCTTGATTTAAGCGTGGGGGAGGAGAGTCCTTCCTCTTTGGTTTTGGGGGTTTACATATTTGTGGAGTGACTCTGGTTTTTATATTCTTTCAGACTTCATTCGAGGTGTGGTAGACTCTGAGGATCTTCCTCTAAATATTTCCCGGGAGATGCTGCAACAAAGCAAAATTCTGAAAGTCATCAGAAAGAATTTGGTCAAAAAATGCTTAGAACTTTTCACTGAGCTGGCAGAAGATAAGGAGAACTACAAAAAGTTTTACGAGCAGTTCTCTAAAAACATTAAGGTTGGTGCAAACACATTCCAGTGTTAGCGATAATGAAAACTGGCTTCTCAGATTTTAAATGACTTTTTTTTTTTTTAATGCAGGAAAATTTTTTCTAAAGCTAATGTTCTCTTTCAGCTTGGAATCCATGAAGACTCTCAAAATCGGAAGAAGCTCTCGGAGCTGTTGCGATACTACACATCCGCGTCTGGTGACGAGATGGTCTCCCTCAAGGACTACTGCACACGGATGAAGGAGAACCAGAAGCACATCTACTACATCACAGGTAACGGACGAGTGGTCATGTCACGTCTCACCTCGGTTCTTGTAACCTCACAGGAACTGTGGGTGTTTCCTACCCGTGTGGCAGTACCTACATGTTAGTAGGTGCTAGTCTAGGCAAGGTAGTTAACGTGAGCTGGCCATACCGGTGGTGGTTAGATCTGACTAGATGAGAAAAGTCAAAGGAAGGGAAACCTCTTGTTGTGAAAGGTCTAAAAGTAACTCTTCAATACCAGGTGAGACCAAGGACCAGGTCGCTAACTCGGCCTTCGTGGAGCGCCTCCGGAAGCACGGCCTGGAGGTGATCTACATGATCGAGCCTATTGATGAGTATTGTGTGCAGCAGCTGAAGGAATTCGAGGGCAAGACTTTAGTGTCGGTCACCAAAGAGGGCCTGGAACTTCCAGAAGATGAAGAAGAGAAAAAGAAACAGGAAGAGAAAAAAACCAAGTTTGAAAACCTGTGCAAAATCATGAAGGACATCTTGGAGAAAAAAGTGGAAAAGGTATGTTTTCTTGCTACTTACATTTGCTAATTTTTTACACTTGTTAGAAGCTATGTTAGAATTTTTTTTTTCTTTAAAGTTGAGCCATACATGGCCCCTATATAAATCCTCTTAATTTAGAATAGAAAGCTTCAGCCTTTCCGTTCAGTGGGATGCCTAAGTTTGCAAGTGCATGATATTTCTGATTCCTCAGTACTCGGGCTCCTGAGACTTCATTTCACAGTAAAGATGGGACAGGTGCTGAGAAGTTGCAGTGACAGAATCTTTCTAGCCCCGTTCATCACTTAATACTTTGATTGCAGGTGGTTGTGTCAAACCGATTGGTGACATCCCCGTGCTGCATTGTCACAAGCACATATGGCTGGACAGCAAACATGGAAAGGATCATGAAGGCTCAAGCCCTGAGAGACAACTCAACAATGGGTTACATGGCAGCCAAGAAACACCTGGAGATAAACCCAGACCATTCCATCATCGAGACCTTGAGGCAGAAGGCGGAGGCAGACAAGAACGACAAGTCTGTGAAGGACCTGGTCATCCTGCTCTATGAGACTGCGCTGCTGTCCTCTGGCTTCAGTCTGGAGGACCCCCAGACACATGCTAACAGGATCTACAGGATGATCAAGCTGGGTCTTGGTAAGTCTGTGTTGTCCAAAGAAGGAACTTATCGTGACTGATGAAGGGGGTAACTCTTAGCACCTTGGTCACAATTGGACTATCTCACCCTGCTTGGGAAACATTAAAGTCACGTGTTGAAGGGCTGGATAAATAGGTCCTTAGTCCGTAAGGGCTAAAAAATGGAGCTGAGACTCGTATACCCTGTAATTGCTCACCATTGAAAGTGGTTCTAAACCAGCAGTGGTATTAGGCTAGTTGGTTTTAAGAAATCTAATACACAGCTTTTATTTCCAAACAGGTATCGATGAAGATGACCCCACTGCTGACGAGAGCAGTGCTGCTGTGACCGAAGAGATGCCGCCCCTGGAAGGAGACGACGACACCTCACGCATGGAGGAAGTCGACTGAGCTCACTGGAGGGTGACCTGCACACGTGTTCGATACTTTACCTTCATTCCCTTGGATGATATATTTTCAAGGACTTCTTTCTTTATTTTTGTTAACATTTTAAAAACGTGTATGGCATGATAACTGCTTAAAGGAAAGATCCGGTTTCTTTCCCTCTAGGTGTATGATACTGTGATGCTCCAAGCACTAAAGCAGAGCTCGCCGTGCTTTCCTAGTCCGCGTTGGCCTGTTTTAACAACGGGGTTATGTTTGCTGTAAGATACGTGTTGCCTATTGTTTGTTAGCTTTGTGGTCTAAAGTGTTTATCTCAAGCAGATTCCTAAGTAGACAAGATCTGTCGCTGAAGTTTTCTGAGATACATCCATGGTTAAAACAACTTTCATCCCCTAGGATCTACTTTCTAAGCCTCACACACCCTGTAGTTATCAACTGCATGTACGGCCTCTAGAAGTTAGTGTGCTGAGCTGAGCAGCTTGATGGGAGGAGCTTTCCATAGGGCTTGTTTCAGAGAAGTGTTGTTTAGAGTAGCTTCAGAACTGTAAGCTGACCCAGGCATGTTGTAAAGCCCTTCAGCAGTTCCCCGGAGCAAGTTTTGTGAATAGAAATGTAGCGCTTGTCATGTTCTGCTTTAAAAGGTTGTTGCAAATACAGACAAATTAAAAGGAAAAGTTATGTGAAAATGTCTTACTTGGGGGGCTGTTAGAGATGAACCCAGGATGTAACAGCATTAGGTACACACACCTTGCCCAGAAGAGTCCAGGAAAAAGATGGTTCACATTGACTGCCCTGGGTCTCACTGTGACCTTCCCGGGGGACACAGGTGGCAGGTGTGAGAGAATGTCTATTAGACAGCACACACTCCCCGTCTCCCTCCAATACATTCTCTAATCGACAGGTCTACCTTAAGGGGGTATCATGTCCAAACTTCCTTTTTATGGCATTTCCAGAACACCTTGCAGTCTCGATAGAGCCCCTTGAAACCTTGGCTTTAGGAATGTCTCCAAATTCTTTCTTAACCTACTTACTGCCGACCCCCCAATACCTTGCCTTGTTCTTTCTGTTGCTTTACTGAGCTTGAGGCAGGGTGCACGGCTAGATGCTGAGCTGCAGGTAATGGTGGGTAGAGGGTGATGAGAGGAGAAGCATGGTCCCTCCTGGGGGTTGGGGACAGGGATGGCTGAAGTCCTAATGTAGTGTTTTGTTGTTTTTTTTAAGAAAAATTGGTCCATATAGGATTTGGGTTTGGAGTCTAAGGCCACCTATAAAAGGCGATAGTGGCTAATGGAGGAGGGGGAGCGTGGGATTCTAGACACTGGGGAAGGTCAGTGCCCTAGTCCGTGCTCAGTAGGTACTTAGTGCCTGGTGAACACTGATCGCATTTACTCCTTAAAATACTCTGAGGTGGGGTTGTTAGGAATTCAATTGAGGCATCAGTATTTGAGCCCACATTTAACCCCAAAGCCCCTAGTCTTCCTGCCTTTGTGCCTTACTGAGAGGTTACCAGCTGGGGGAAGTGTAGGGTATACCTGCTGAAACTAGGGGTTGACTGGCAAGGGCAACAGGGAGGTGCCAACGCTTCTCGTAAGAGTATTCAAGATTGCATTCAAATCCAAGCTGCAGGTGCTTGAGGGAACTTGCAAGCCAAGGACTTCTGTAAGTGGTCTCCCACTGAGTTTGCCCTCCCTCCGAGTCACTGGGAGAACGTTTATGGCAAGTAGACAAGGACTGTGTATCTGGAGCTGTCCCCCTGTAACCCACACGGAGCAGGGACGCCTGGCCAGTGGGTGGGGCATACACACCATGCTGGCATCCCAGGAAGAGGCCACCAGAAGTCCCTCACCTGCTGCTTTAAAACCCAATGTGGACTAGCCGGCGTGGCTCAGCGGTTGAGCATCGACCTAGGATCCAGGAGATTGCAGTTTGATTACCGGTCAGGGCACATGCCCGGGTTGCAGGCTCAGTCCCCAGTAGGGGGTGTGCAGGAGGCAGCTGCTCAGTGACTCATCGATGTTTCTCTCCCTCTCCCTTCCCCTCTGAAATCAATAAAGATATATATTTTAAAAAAACCAATGTGGTTTTACACCTGTAATTAGTCCCATCCTGCTGAGGGGGGACTGGATGCTAAAATTTGCACTGAAAAAGCAAAGATGGGTACAGACTGGAAAAGATAAAATTCATTCACAGATTACTTGGTTATCTGTAGATAACCAGTAAGGAATTTACAAAAACGGTCTGAAAACAATTTAGCAAAGTCTTAGAAGATAAATACACAAAACCCAATTGAATTTGTGTTAGCGACAAGCGTTAAATCTCTTAAGTGTTCATTCACAGTAATATACTAAATAAAAACAAGCTTTACAGAAGGCTTTGCAACACCTGGGCACAGAACTAAAAAATGAGAGACCTGGGTAAACAGGAGCAGTGTTGGAAAACAGCGTTGTGGGTTCTGGAAAGCATTACGCTAAGTGAAAGCTACATACGATGTGATTTCATTTTCATATAATTCCAAAAAAAGCAAAAGTACATCAGAGGGTGGAAAAGTGGGTAATCTGGGGCCCACCAGGGGTCCTGGTGGGATTGATTGTGGAGGAGCAGGAGAGAACATTTGGAAGTGTCCAAAAACTTGATGATTGCGCAGGTGTATATATTTGTTAAAGTCCATAGAGCTTAAAATGGGTGAGTTTAGTGGTGGGCTATACCTAATAGCTCATGAGAAAAGAGAAGCGCCCGGCCAGGCGTGGCTCAGCGGTTAAGCGTCGACCTAGGATCCAGGCGATCAGGGTTCGATTCCCGGTCAGGGCACATGCCCAGGTTGCAGGCTGCAGCCGATCAGTGACTCTCATCATTGATGTTTCTAGCTCTCCCTCTCCTTTCCTCTCTCTGAAATCAATAGATATATTTATAAAAAATATATCTTTAAAAAAAAAAGAAGCAAAGATGTAGAAAGCAGCCTCCTGGCGTCCAAAAGTGACCTTGAGCAAGCCCATGGACCCCTGCATCCGGACCTCATTTGTAAATTAGTCCCTTCAAGGCTGTTCTGCCATTTTCCAGGTGAACAGACTCAGCAGGTGCCTGGCGTTACCAAGTGCTCAGCAACTGACAGCTGTTCCTTCCAAAGACTCACCTACTCAGGTGGGACCTTTCCTCCTGTTGTCCTATGAGATCACCTTACTCAGGCTCGCTTCTACCAGATAATGTCCAGAGTGTAACGTCCAGCAAGCCCCAGTCTAAGCCTCGCCTCCTCCAGGAAGTTTTCCTAGACTACTTCCACCCTCACCGTCTCTGGTCCTCTGAACTTCTAGCTATCCCTACCAGGCACATGTTCATCGCTTTTATTGAACACCCACTAAGAGCTGGCCCAGTACAGTCTGGTGGGGCCACACACGAAAACGGTGTCATTGGGGAAGGTGGGCAGAGCAACGCAGCTATGGTGGCTACAGTGAAGGCCATGAGGCCCCCAGGGGAGGTATAAGGACAGCAAGGAGGGGCAAGGTGTGGGGAAGCTCCTGGAAGACGGTGACTGCTGGCATAAGGTTGACCTTATTTCAACAGAGAGGGGCACAGGGAGCTCGCCAGGACGAGGGAGGGGGCATCGCCAGGCTTGAGAGCCTGGACGGCTCAGCCTTGGGAAGGAAGAGTGGACGGTCTGAGTGATGAGAGAGCTGGAGGGTAGAAATCACGAACCGTGTGTCTGGACCGTGAGCCCGGCCCGCAGGCCTGGACCGGGACTGCTGCACAGCTCACCTGCTGGGACGGCCCGTGGCCTGTGCTGGTGGCTGCTTCTAAATAGTGGGGCCCATGCCCACCCTGGAAAATGTCCTTAACGCCAGCAACACTGAGGTGGTTTGGTAAGTCAGTGCCACCATCCTGTCCTGTGGCCCCTTGCTCCATCCCAGCCCCCCCCATGTTGTCTTACAGAGGAAGCAGATCGGAGGGCGCAGGCTCCTTGACAACCCCTGTGGTCTCCCTGCCCCTCAGCACTAGGGTCAAACCTGGGGTGGGCGTCTGAGGCTCCACTCTGCCTCTGAAGACGGGGTTGAGGGGAGCCCACGTGACCTGTCCTGAGTTTTGAGAATAAACATGCAGTATTGATCTGTCCCAAATGCTTTAAACAGTGTCTGGCACGTGGCACACGCTCAGATACTTGTTAATAAATGAGCCTAAGCATATCAGCTTGCAGACACTTTAGCTTACACTCCTTCATTTTTTTTAACTTATTTTGGAGATTTCCAAACTCCCTTTCACCTCCCACTGGCCTCCTGAGGCAGGGAAGTCTCAGCACGCAGGTGGGCCGTGCAAACCTGACAGAGCCCCTCTCTCAAGGTATTCATGCGCGAGTTACCCTTCTAGGAATGGTCTTATGTTTTTTCAAAAACATTATTATTGATTATTAGAGAGAGAGGAAG